TGCTATATCAGCGGTATTTACAATAACAAGAAAAATCCAACACAATAATTTTTAATGCTATTCGAAAATAAATTTATTCCCTTTTTGTCTCTCTTTTCTAAATATGACAATTAAAAAAAAAACAGTATGGTGTTCGAGGCAAACCTTGGAAAATAAGTGAGCGTCCGCGAGTTATCTAGCTTGGAACCATTGTGCTATGCGACTGTGTGTACCTTTTACATTAAATATTACGGTATTTCATGCATTTGTTTCTGAACACAGAAGCACTCAGTGCTGCTTCAGAAAGAGTGGACAGGTATACGGCCGCACAAACTGTCATTCAAGGGAGTGACCAGCTGTGTGATTCGACTCATGCAGTCGGTCAAATTCAACGCTGAAATACCTTTTTCTGATGTGCTGTCCACAAGCCAGTCCCGGGATTCTATGGCGGTTCAACCACCAAGGATGTCTAAGGCGATGGTAAGTTACATGTTTGTTGTAAGAATTTTAGGTTTCAATTTAAACTGGCTTGTTATTCCTCATGGTGTGGTGGTGGAAACTAAGTGACGTAAATGTATAAGGCAGAAGTTGTCTTTCAGATGTTTTTAAAATTTTTTTTAATTCAATTTGCGTCATTTTTTTTTTCGAGTTCACCAGCTATAAATTCCGGCGAAAAGTTCTGGTTGTTCATCTACATTTAACCCTTGGTCTTGTTCCGGAACTTGAGTGTTGCATGCGAAACCAATCTGCCTGATTTGTTTGTCAGTTTCAGTCTTCTCAGGCAGATGCACTGCGATTTAGAACGAAACTTCTGTAATTAGTCACTTTGTGCGACATGTTCATTACCAAGGTAGTGGTTCTATTATATTTTCCTTCTCCAAGGATAAAGCTAGTATCGTCTCCAATGCGCTCCCTCTCTAAAGCCGTTGACACAGTGTGGGATGTCAGGTTTGATATGCACCCACCAGTACTCGAGTTAACAAAGAACAGGTTATACTGTCGCTCAGTCATATCTGATCAAGATAAGACTGAATTTACCAGAAAAGTGATGAGAATTTTGCGAACAAAGAAGATACTTGAATGAGGCATCGGTAGCTGCAGGTTTACTGCAGTGGTCTTTAAAACTTTAAGACAAAATAATATAAATAATAATAACAACACAATATTATTACAAAGACATGATGTGGAAGTTTCGGGGAAGGGGAGAGGGAAGACATGAACAGATGGGCTATGCCCTTATTGACGGAAGATTAAGAAAATTTTAGAAGTGTATAAAATTTACCCAAAATGAAGACTATTACATTGATGATGGTTTCGCTATTGGCAAAATAAGCATGCAGTTAAAGAAGATCAGATACAAACAAAGAAACATTCAATTCATCACCAATCAGCAAGTCCTTTACAGAACGTCGCTCTCTTCACGGCACACCTGAAAGTATCCGTTTCCCTAGCGAGCTCCCCAGCCCCATGTGCTTTTAATGCCAATGCATCTTTAATGTCTTATATCCATATTTGCGGTGGTCGACCCCTGCCCCGCCTTCCACAAACTGCACTTTCCAACACCGTCTTTTCCAAACCAGCACGACGCTTGATGGGGACAAAGTTCTTCAACTTTCGGGACAGGCTGCTGTTTATGAGCCAGTTCTCCTTGATGATCAACTCGTTCAGTATGTCAATGTTTTTCCTCTTTCTGATTCATGGTATTCTAAGAATTTTTCTATAACATTTCAATTTAAAAGCTCCAATCTTTTTTCTCAGTGACTGAGTGAGAGTCCAAGACTCACAACCGTAAGTTGCCACAGGAAAAATTCAGGATCTCATATATGCACCAAGAGGGAATTCAACATAGGAGTAATGAAAGTGTTTGATATAATATTGATCTAGTTATACTATTAGTCGGCTCTGTGGCTAAGTCGATGCGAACGCTTCGTAATGCCGGGATGCCGAGTTCGATCCCAGCTGCGGGCTATGCGCCTTGCGTTGGTTTCGACGGTGGTATCAAGAAAGCAGACCGCAGTGGCAAACTACTGGACGTAAATTTGCCTTAAAAAAACCAGGGGATGTTGAGGTTGGTTCTGCAACATCCTGTAAAGGATACGCAACTAACCATAGTTATACTATTAATGATAAATGAGTTATATAGAAAATGTCTGTCAGACATGTTGCAAAATCAAATATCCCTAAACTTACGATGATGTATCTCGCTGTATCTCGTCAGGTGCATACTACAGTAACAATTACATAAATGGGGCTGATAAGTGAATCCTTTATAACTGAAGTACAAAAATATATGATTTAGACACTGCGCCACCCTGGTAAAACAGGCAGTTGCGCTCGATTGTTGTTGAATTTGTACTTCACTTATAAGGATTTGCTTATTTGTTTTATTTGTGTTAATGTTACTGTAGTATAAACCTGATGAGATACAACAAAATATGCGTGGCAATAATTTGTGCAATCTTTTGTCTGTGTCTTCTTTATTCAAATTTACAATGGTGAAACATTCCTTAGTAACATATATGACTGATGTTCATCAGAACGTTACAAAAAAAAAAAAAAAAAAACCACAGGTGAATAAGAATTACCATGAAAAATGTATAGAAGAATAAGAAGGACCATACGACTCAAGAGAAAGGGGAGGAGGAGGAGTAAAATGGATTGTGAGGGGAAGAAGAAGAAGGAGAGGAAGGAAGTGTTATAGCCACCTAGACAAGTTGACGAAGAAAACAAAGTTTGTGTTAAAGAAATATTGTCTTTATGTGAAAAGGAAGAAGAAGAAGAAGAAGAAGAAGAAGAAGAAGAAGAAGAAGAAGAAGAAGAAGAAGAAGAAGAAGAAGAAGAAGAAGAAGAAGAAGAAGAAGAAGAAGAAGAAAAAGAAGAAGAAGAAGAAAAAGAAGAAAAAGAAGAAGATGAAGAAGATTTAGAAGATGAAGAAGAAGAAGAAGAAAAAGAAGAAGAAGAAGAAGAAGAAGAAGAAGAAGAAGAAGAAGAAGAAGAAGAAGAAGAAGAAGAAGAAGAAGAAGAAGAAGAAGAAGAAGAAGAAGAACAAGGAGAAGAAGAAGAACAAGAAGAAGAACAAGGAGGAGGAGGAGGAGGAGAAGAAGAAGAAAAAGAAGAAGAAGAAGAAGAAGAAGAAGAAGAAGAAGAAGAAGAAGAAGAAGAAGAAGAAGAAGAAGAAGAAGAAGAAGAAGAAGAAGAAGAAGAAGAAGAAGAAGAAGAAGAAGAAGAAGAAGAAGGAGAAGAAGAAGAGAAGAATGAGGAGGAGCAGGAAGAAGAAGATGAAGAAGGAGGAGGAGAAGAAGAAGAAGAAGAAGAAGAAGAAGAAGAAGAAGAAGAAGAAGAAGAAGAAGAAGAAGAAGAAGAAGAAGAAGAAGAAGAAGAAGAAGAAGAAGAAGAGGAGAAGAAGAGGAGGAGCAGGAAGAAGAAGATGAAGAAGGAGGAGGAGAAGAAGAAGAAGAAGAAGAAGAAGAAGAAGAAGAAGAAGAAGAAGAAGAAGAAGAAGAAGAAGAAGAAGAAGAAGAAGAAGAAGAAGAAGAAGAAGAAGAAGAAGAAGAAGAAGAAGAAGAAGAAGAAGAAAAAGAGGAAGACAAATGTAGCGATATCCATATTGTCTAACAGATATTAATCCCTATTCATTTAATCATTATCATGGATTGCCATTTTATATCACATAGGGCTCACAGTCCATTCCTCCATTCCGTTCTATCCTGTGAAATTAGTTCAATGTCATGGATGGAACCCAGTCCAGCAGATTTGGCCTCTCTCATAAATGATCTTAAAGGTTTCTCTTGAGCCTTTTCGCTTCCTCAATCCCTTTATTTTCCATTTTAATGCCTGTTTGGTGATTCTCTGCTGATTTTTTCTCAGGATGTGTCTAGTGTAGCCACATCTTCTTATTATTTACTATGGTTGGCGAGATATTTCTCTTATTACTTCACCTTTCTGGGTTTCATCCCATGTACTATTCATCGGTTTCTTTCGGGCATTTATTTTTCGACTACATCTAACCACGACCAGCTCCAGTTGACAGGCCGTGCTGCTGATGTCATTGTGTCGGGCTAACGATGCGTTAACGCAGCAGTTCTCGAACTAGGTGCCGATGCACCCTGGGGTGCCGTGAGCGTATGAGAGGGGTGTCGCGGCAATAATCAAGACAAGTCGGCTAAAAATTGTGAAATTATTAAATAAGGCATGAAGATACTTGAAAGTTGCAATATAAGTTTTCTTCCCTCGCCACTGTCAAAAATAGTTTATTTTTTGTTTGAAAACCGCTGCGTTAAGACATCGTTAGCCCGACTCGGTGACGTCAGCACCACGGCCCGTCAGCTAGAGCCGGTCATGATCTAACCCTTTTTCAATGTCTTTAGCACAGTTAATATTCATATATGAATAGGAAGCATAAAAGATACTTAAATATTACTTTACACAGAGGACGATGTCGGAAGATCCAGATAAACAAGATAGTGTGAATGTACCAGAACAGGATTTTGTAAGTATTTCTGATTTCCTTGCGTAGCTGCTAGTATTTTAGCTTCATTGTATTTCATACTTTTATGACATATTTTTAGCTTTATTTTTTTTAAATTTCATAAGTAATGTTTTTCTTAAATGTTTAGTATTGGTAGTCATGTCTGTATGCAAGACTCTGCCTCTTGTAACTTGTCTGACATATATTATCCTTTAAATTATAATGCCAGACTGCAAAGCATCTTCTCTTTTCATCTGCAAATAATCCCCTCTAACTTCTCCATCGTAACGGCATACTCGTTTCCCTTTCTCGCGATGTGACCAAACAATGTAGACTATCTCCTCCTCGTACAGGTAACTAATTCTCTTGGTTACTCAATGTTTGTGGTTTTGAACAACGGTTTAACATCATGGCACACGGGTGCAACCCATAAGTGCCCTGTTCTTCCTCCAACTCAAGTCTGAGTCCGAAGAAGCTCAGAACAGTGCACATGCTCTGTAGCACCGGCGACGGTCCCGACATACTCTGGGTAGTTGTTTAACTCAAAAATTTGTCCGGGCAGCGCCGTTAAGCTACTCTTTTCGATTTCCAACTGCCAAGGGATTTTTACGTGCGCAACAATGCACACGGACGGCTGATCTCCCCCAGAGACCAGGGGAAATACTAGAAGTCCAAGTCCACATGAAAAAAATCTCAGCCCTCCTTGCTAAACAGCAAAACCAGGAAAGTAAAGAAAAGACAGGGGTTCTTCTGCGCAGTGATCCTAGAATATTTCACTAAGGCCCAGACAAAGAATATCTGCATAGTGGGTTATATGGCGACAACCTAACTACATGGTTACATACAATTAGACAAACCATGTGCACAGACTACAAATCATAAAATAAATAAAGCAAATGAATTATAAGCATCACATTAAACAGCTGTTTATTTTACTGAAATGAACACAGAATTAACGTATACTTCACAAATAATATATTAACAACAACCAACGTGCTCAACCAGAATCTAAAATGCTAATCATCTCAAGCTAACAAGGCAATATGATAAAGACACCATACGCTCAGCGAGATTACCTCAACAATGGCAACAAGCAAAACATATTAAACTTGTACGTTAAGTTTCATATATCACCAGACCAACAAATCACTTATAACGACCTGCCATCAATCTATCTCCTAGCGAGAATACACACCGACATGTCTTTACAGTTTAACTACTAGAGAAATTTCAGATTTAACTATAGAAACATACCACCGCCGCGAAATCAGCCTGACAACTGGCCTTCCCCTGCAGTCGCCCGTAACCATGCTGGCTAGCCCAATGTGCAGACCCAAAACAGCTGGTTAGGTCTCCCGCAGGGTCGGCCCGGAGGCGAAAAAGACCCTAATAGGGAGTGAACTGTTTTTTTTTTTTTTAGATACATAGTGGCCAGACTTTTCCGCTTTCGTGAACCAGACAAAAATGAAGGTATCGGCCAAACAATCTAAAATCGACACTCTGCTCAACAGCAGTATTTGGCTTTCTCCGGCCTATCACACAACAATAAGAAAGAGACAAACACTGTTCTTTGGCCATATAATGAGTGAAGAGACATTAGAGAACATCGTAACAACTGGAAAGATAAGTGGGAAAAGGGGTAGAAACTGACCAAGAGAGATGATGCTGGACGGGCTGAAACGATGGCATGGAGGGCATCAGGAGAGCTGTTTCAGGCAACCAGGGATCGTGATCTCTGTAGATGCATGAGCGCCCCCGCCTGTTGTCAGGGCTCATGATGATGATGATGATGACTCCCGCACAGACTATATAATAAATAAGGTTGAAATGTTTTTCAGGTGTATCCAATAAAAACAAATCTGCGAACATTCCCAGGATGTAGAATCGGGTCATCTTGATCCCTCACAGCAGTGCAATAACTCCAGACCCTGCCCTCTGCTCGTCAAGTGCATCAGTGCCTAAAATGATGTCCCTCTACAGAGATCCCCATTCCGACTTCCATTACACGTGACAGGCGGAACAAGAAAGAGCGCCGGAAAAGGAGATTCATACAATTACAAATCCATTTGGAGATTCCCAGGGACAACAGTAATTGACAGGAGATCACATTAAAAAAAAAAAAAAAAATCGAAAAGAAAATCAACATAATCTGACGTACGTTGAATGAAAGCAATAGATGGAGAGAAGACGTACGAAATTAGATAAAAACTAACTGAAGCATCGGGGACGTGTATGCTAATGAAATTAAAATTCGCTGACGAGGTTTTAAATACATTCTTACGGTACTTACCCCCCTCCCCCTTTTTCCAGTCCCACTCTCTCTTTCTCCTGTAGCGAAGTGGTCACGCCGTTTGCCTCACGCTGTGAAGGTCGTGGGTTTGTTTCACGGCTGCGTCGTAAAGTTCACGAGTGCAATTTTTACGACGGAGCAACGGAGTTCGTACTCTGTGCGATGCTCTCTGCAGGGGCTAGCTGTTCTGCAGAGGGAGACCGAGCCACATGAGGTGAAACTCGGTGCAGTGAAGTCGATCCTCTCGACAATAACCTTTAACTGTTTTTCTCTTTTTTCCCCATCAGGAGATCACATTACACTTGGCTGATGTAACTGTTAAGGGGTGAGGTGGGGGAAAGGGGGGGGGGCCCTAATTATAACTTCTCTCCTGTTTGAATGAAGTGATTGGGATCAGCCCTGTTGGTTTGCCATACAAAAAAAGATTTTTAACTAAAATCTGGCTACTTTAATTTTATACGACCACTTCTCGTCGGTTTCGAGATTTCGTAGGGAATTCCTAGGATCCTGAGTGGTTTCCCTGGACAGTACTATATTAAGGAGGGAAGGGGGTGGTGTGGGTGAATTTACGACAACTACTAAGCCTAACTCTAACCCCCTATACTATGGGACGTTTTGGGAATTTCCCTAACAAATCTCGCAGCCGACGAGATGTGGTAGTATAAAAGTACAGAAGCGATATTTAAAAATAAAATGTTTGTATGGCAAACTAACTCTGGCATTCGTTTTTTTTGCTTCTTGAAGTTCGATGTTTTGTTTTCTGTGGGCCCCCACACAAATTCTAGGAATAAGCTTGAGAATGAAACATATATATAGTTACACACAATATGACACCATGGAAACAAAGTACAACAGAAACTATTTACGTGTCTTATGTCCTATACTGTAGTCACAGAATCCTCTGTAAATTTTAATTATTAAATGATCTTAGCCATTTTTTGTGGGGGCGGGGGGAGGAGGGGGGGGGGGGGGGAAGAATGATTTATCGCTTTGGACTTCCCTAGTTATTCAGAAAACAAAACAAAAAAACATTTGCCAGAGATGGCAGGGCTTTGAAAGCAATGTTTACTTTAAAACAACTCTCACCACAAACACCACATATTTCATCATAGAAATATACGTGTAAATTGCATTAGACATTATGCATAAGAAATTTTGTTGGTAATGTTTGCGGGCTAGAAATTGTGTACTTTATGTTTCTATGTTGTCATATTTTGTGTAACTATATATATGTTTAATTCTCAAGCTTATTCCTTGAATTTTTGTGGGGGAAGGCAGGGAACACACAGAAAAACTGGACTGTCATGGTGAAAACAGCGTATCGTTAGCCCGGTTTGGTGACGTCAGCAGCGTGGTCCATCTGATGGAGAAGGTTTTTAGACAAGCATGTTCAATGCAGAGTGGCAAGAATCGCTTCAGAAATCCTGGGTAGCCAGCGTCGTTTTGGTATCTTCTCCAAGGTATGCTGGTGTGTTGGGAAACGAGCTGGCAGATAGACTGGTCGATTCTGCACCGCTTGGTGGTGAACTGATGTATGCCAAGCTGGATGTCGTGATATCTATTGTCGCTGCGGTAGCAAATTGTGCGCCTACCTGTACGAGCAGAGTAACAAATGCAGTTGGTTTATCGAACAGACGTTTATCGGACAAACTTGGCAGTTGGCAAAGTGACACGGGAGACGGTGGTCAGACACTTTGGCTTCTACGGATGTAAAGAACTTTTCCTTATAGGCCCTGACCAATTTACCGAGGCCTATTGTCCACGAAGTTTTGTTGCGTCCACATCCAGCTCGAAGCCCTTTCAGTAGCCTCACCCAGTTATTTTAGTGCCCGCTTACGCTCGTTTTCTCGCAAGCTAAATGCAGTTCTAAAAGAACTTTGCTGAATTGCTTCTAGCAAGAACCGGAGAGATAGGAACGAGGTGTGTAAATCTCAGGGAAACTCCTCGTTTCTTAAAGGGTGTCAGGATTTCAAGCACCAAGTTTGTAGTTAAATGTGAGGACAAATAGTGCGATTATTTCCTTACGACGGCTTTTGATGCTTACCGGCACTCTTATTTCTACAGGCAAGACATTATAGAAACACCCGTCGACCGTGTGACATAGAACTGGTACTATTAGCCATCGGACGTTGGGGTTCATACTGAGGGGAGGATCTGAGCACCTATGGACATGTCCGGAGTGCAATGAGGATAACCCAACTAACTAACTAACTAACTAACCTCAGAGAAAGGTTTACAACAGCTTCATTAACTGCGCAGGCATTGCCTCCAGGACGTCATGTCTCTGATCAAACTGTTCGGAAGAGACTGCATGACGTTGGACTATGGGCATGACAATCACACCGAGGGCCTGTCCTTTCGCGTCGCCACCGCAAAAATCTACCTAACATCTTCCCTGGGCAGGTGACAGTCAATGGAGACGTGTCTGGTTCAGTGACGATTCTTTCTTTTTATTGCAGCGTACTGATATGGTGTAGTGTATACTATAGGTGAAATGAAGGTTTAGCCCAAAATTGTGTTGAGGAAGCTTTGCTACACTGTGGTGGAGGTGTAATGGTGTGGAGAACGATCAGTTCCAACGGAAAGAGTCAATTGGTGCACAGTGAAGGAGGCTTGAATGCGTAACCACATGTCCTTTAATTTTGGGATGCCAACTGATATCTTTTCAACATTACAACGCCAGACCCCCTTCTGCATGGTTTACCACGCAGTTCTTGGGTTCCCTTTCCATCAATGCAGACATGAGTCTGTTTGAGCACCTGGGGGATGAGCTGCAAAGACCTGTTTGTCGCCGAGTCGTTGCTCCAGCCAATGGTCGTGATCTGTTTCAGGCACTCCAGGAAGAGTGGGCAGCCGCCCCATATCAGACATCTCATCGCATCCATGCCCAGGAGATGCCAATCACTGATCCACGCAAGAGGAGGCCGCACACCAAACTAACAGGAACGATCGTACGCCTTAAATTATCGTGACCCAGATGGAAAAAAAAGTGTCAATTGATTGGTGGAACCCTAAGGTAGTCTTGTGTGAAATGTGAGTAATTTTGCTTATTGTGTTACAAAGATGCTGAATTTCAAAATTGTGAGTATGTATGTTTCTTTTAGTATCTCTTCGTTTCCTTTTTTTTTCCCACACAGTATATGTTTATTTTTAATCACTTTTATCGTCTCAAGAGTTTTGTGCACATTTTCTAACCTCCGAAAATACTTTCTCCAGTATCAGGCCGCGGAAGACATCACATTTGGCTGCAGCCTTGCCTGTACACTGCTGATTCTGGTGCTGGTTATTGGCCTGCAGGTGAGTCTCGACAATAGTAACAGAAGCATCAGGGGTACCTGGTACGTTACAGTAAAATTAACGGTTCTGTCGGAGCCCTACCAATCTGGACTACATGTTACTTCCTAACCGTTTTGCGATGCCCCAGTATAACCATGCTTTTTGGTCAATACGGGGAACCCCTGTGGTGTAGCGGCTAAATGCTCGCCTGCGGATCGAAAGGTCGTCGGTTCGGGTCGTGACGGAGCTAGACCTGTTTTTTGCCTTTAAAAATTGGATCTTGGCTCCCAGATGACCCTGCCTTGAGTGGGTACCAGGTATAGCCCTGGAAAGTAAAGGTGGCCACATCATCCACCAAGTGCCGATTGGTGTATACAATTTAGCTCTAGCCTTATGTGCCCAATACGCATGAAGGCGTATAAAAGGTCCTTTACTTTTTTTACTTTCGGATGACAATACAGTTGAACAGAATGTTTACTCAGTTCAATTCTCATCACTGAGATCTAAGAATTACAGAATGTAAATCTGGAGGTGAATTCATAAACAATATAGTCCTGTCACAACCCATCCACATAGGACTATATTTTAATTTGTAACCAGCCGTCTGTTTCCCAATCTGGTCGTGCAGGTAGGTGCTCAATTTAATACCGCAGCGACGATATATCATCATCATCATCATCATCGTCATCATCATCAGGTGCATTGCCGACTGGCTTGGGCCATCATGCCTCTCCACAATCCGCGATCTCCTGCAGCATGTATCAATTCGTGTGCTGACACACCTCCATGCCATGCAACAAGACTGTTAAGAATCTTCTCTCGCTGTCTTCCTCTATCCCTCCTTACACAGATCTTTCCAGTGGTCACAACATGTTCTATTTCCTCTCTTCTCATAACATGGCCGAAAAATGATGACTGTCACCTTCTGATGTCTGTGATTAGTTGTCTTCGGGCTCCTGCCACTTTCAAAACCTGTTGGTTGCCTCTTTTTGGCTGTCCAATGTATTTTAAGAATTCTTCTATAAAACCACATCTCTGATGCCTCAAGAAATTATTTTGCTGGCCTACCGATTGTCCAGGATTCACAGCCATATGTTTAAACTCGATGTATGTAGCAAAGCAAGGATTCTTTTTCTAATCTTCAATGACAGATATATTTGCATAAGATGTTCTTCATTCTATAAAATACAGTTTTAGCCTGTCCTATTCTGTTTCTTATCTCAGTAATGCATCTTCCATATGATGTTTTCCCTGTGCCCAGATACTTAAATTTATGTACTTGTCAAAAAAAAAAAAAAAAACATTTATTTACCCATTTAGGAATAATACTTTTCTTTCATACTACGATTGCTTCTGTCTTTCCATTATTCAAATTGGGGCCCATTCTTCCACTTTCTACCACTATAATGTAAATCATTTCCGGTAGTTCTTTCTGACTTGTTGCTATCAAGACTGTCATCAGCATAACGCAAATTGTTTATATTACGCCCACCAACCACAATTCCGGGCATATCAGTTAAAGATCTCAATATATTTTCACTGTATATTTGCTATTTGCTACTGATATTTGCTTCATGTAATAAGGGTGATATACTTGTAATGTTACATTTCTTTCTTTTCTACAGGTTGTTATCCTACCACGAACTTTACTGTTGTTCATGATATTTCTTGTGGCATTTGCCTGGCCGTCTGTTGTGCTTATTTTTATATTAAGTGCTAAACTAAAGGTGAGCAGCAAACAATGCTTGTACTTGGATAGCAATGGTGATTTTCTTGTGTGTAAACAGTTGACTCTTTTTAAATTCCAGTCATCTGTCTTTATGAGTTGAGGAGATGTAATGGTTTGTTAGGAGCTAAATAGAAATAATTTTGAGGAACGGAAGTGAATCATGGACCGTCAGTGTATTACTGAAACATTATATGTAGAGATTTCAGATCTGGGTCGTTCGACTGTATTCATGTGTAGTCTGTACTTCAACCTTCCCCCTCCCCTCCCTCCAAAATTTTAAATTATCATGGCGAGATAAAACGGGCACCGAAGATGTTTCGGAGAGGGGTAAAAAAAAAAAAACAACAAAGCTTATTTCACGGGTGCAAAGAAAACAGTTTACATTGTGTGGGCACCTCATGGCGCTGGCCTTGGATTCTACACACGCTGAGAAGATATAAGAACAATATAACTAGAATATCTATCACTGGAACTAACAGAGGCATACAAATTAAGGGACACACCCACCCCCACCCCATACAAAAAAAACACACACACACACACACACACACACACACACACACACGGAGAGAGCGAGAAAGTGAAGTTAAAAAGATAAACGAGCGAACGAACAAATGGATTTTATTTTCAAAGGGTCACAAATTAGGCACGCAGGCCTGACTTATATTCGGCCCTTTCAAACACCCATCTTTCACACAGCAGTTGTATTTTATCAATAAAGCTTGCTTTTTTTTCATGTAACAATATTTATATTATGAACATCAAGTCAAAAACAAAAGCATGGGTGGTAAAATGCATGCACACGCTCGCGCGCCAACACACGCACCCACCTACACACAAACCTGTTCACTCACTGAAACACACACACATAGGCACCCAATAAACACATGCATACACACACATATCAACATACATACATACATACATACATACATACATACAGACAGACAGACAGACAGACAGACAGACAGACAGACAGACAGACAGACAGACAGACAGACAGACAGACAGACAGACAGACAGACAGACAGACAGACAGACAGACAGACAGACAGACAGACAGACAGACAGACAGACAGACAGACAGACAGACAGACAGCTATACAGCCATACAGCCATACAGCCATACAGCCATACAGCCATACAGACATACAGACATACAGACATACATACATACATACATACATATATACATACATACATACATACATGCATGTATACACACACACTCATACACGCAGTCACACACACACACTCTCACAAACACACACTCTAAGACACACACGCAAACAACCTCGACACATACAGACACACACAGCCATACAGACACACACAGACACATAAACACAAACATACACACACCTAGCCGCACAAAAAGGCACCTACAAACACACAGACGCACACAGACATAAACCCACACAGACACACACGCAGTCACAGGCACACACCGATACATTCACACACAGAGACACACACAGGGACATACGCAACACTCACACATACACAGACACACACATACACACATAGACACGCACACAGTCACACACACAGACACACAGAGACACACGCACACACAGACATTATCAAAAAGAAACAAGCATAGAGACACACACAGATGCACACAAAGCTACACATACAGACACACACAGCCACAAACAAAAACAGACACACACACATCCATACACACAGACACACCTACAGACACATAATGGCACACACAGACACACACACGCGGACACACACACACACACTGACACACATAGACATACACACAGATATACACACACATACAAACACACCCACAGACGCACAAACACATACACAGACACACGCCCAGACTCAAAGACATAGATGGGTAGAACAATAACTGCATGCGATATATATATATATATAAAAGACATGATTGAGAGTACACGAGAAAGAACGCAGTCGTCTGACATTGACTTCCAACGCCACACAACATTGACTATAAAGAACAAATCTTTTTTAATCATCAACATGTAATTTGTTTTATGTATGTGTGTGGCCACGATAATTGATTAATTTAATACTTTTGTTGGTTATTTCCTTTTAAAGAAGCTTGAACGTTGACCTTTTTCTATATTGCAGTGTACAAATTTTGATATCCGAAAGTCGTCGAAACTGAGAATCTTTATTTCAGTAACAACAATACTGATTCCATATTTGATGGTACAGATTAATGTAGTAAGTTCTCATTTTAAAATCCTGTGCTTTACTGTTATTGTAAATTATGTTTGTACATGTGAATTTGAGTCCGTTGTTGCTCAGTCATGTGAGTACGGAAAACATGGGAAGACTACTGCATTTAATTTATAGAAACATTTTTTTTGGTTGCGCGTCCCCCCCCCCCCCAATCTCCTTTTAAATATGTTAGCACGACCCCCACGCCCCATTTAGTATATTGTAAGTCCCCCTCCCCCTCACCTTTTTTTGGAGTATGTGGCAATAAACTCACACCCCCCCCCCATCTCCTTTTGAATATTTTAGAACGACCCCACGCCCCATTTAGTATATTGTAAGTCCTCCCCCCCCCCCCCTTTTTTAGTATGTGGAAATAACCTCACCCCCCCTCACCCTGTCGGTAATAAAAACTAAACAGATAAATCTAAGGGATGTTATTGCATCCTTTGGTCTTCATAAACGAGGTTTCGGTCATGTACATTGAGTTTTCTAACCTTGAAGTCGCAGCATAAGCTGCATTATTGAAAAATCTGCATTTTTTTTTTTAAACTGAGTTTAAGAAACCAGCTGCTAACTATGTTTGTTTCTGTGTCTGTTTAGGGTTAACTGTGAGGTAGTGCACGAAATTATGTCCCCTGTTTTACTGGTCCATGTGTGTAAAACGTGTTAAAAACATTGATCTTAAGCAGAGGTTGCCAACCTTCCCAATACCGCCACCCTTGAATACAGTTCCTCATTTTGTTGTGACCCCAACCATAACAGTATTTTCATTGCTACTTCATAACTTTAGTGAAAATTTGTTTTCCAAAGGTCTTAGGCGACCCCTATGAAAGGGTCGTTCGACCCTCAAATGGGATCGCGACACACATGTTGAGAACCTCTGATCTAGAGTGCAAGAATGTTGAGACGGTATTTGAATGATAAGAAAACATAAACAAGGAGTAAAAAACGTATATATTCTTCTATAATTCCTCTTGAACCACTTTATGCGTCATGAGCAATACAAGATTATGATTCTTGTTCTTCTAACCTTTCGAAATAACGGACACCTGGTACTGCTAGAAAGGTTCTTCTCTTATACTTTCTTTCCACCTTCTTGGTCTACCGCTTTCCTCTACTTTTCTGATTTACGTCTTGTATGGAATTGCAACAGAGAGAATTCTCTCTACGTGAGCAAATCATTATCTGTTATGTCCTCGTATGTAATTTATTTTATTTTCTATTTCAGCATTTTCTTTAATTAAAATACAACTGTTTAACAAATAGCAGAAACTTGAATAAAAAAAAAAAAATCTCATTTCGAAGAGATGTAATTAGTCTTTCTAATCTTCTTCTTCTTCTTGTTCACCGGCTGTGAATTCCGGCAGAAAGTCCCAGTTGTTCGTCCATATGGACTTTTGGCTTTTACCCGGACCTGAGTTTTGCGTGTACATCCGTTTTACTGGCTTACTTGTGTGCAGTTCTCGTTTCCTGCCTTACCGGGGGATGTACTCTGACTTTGAGGGAAAGTCTTTCTAATGATACTGAATAACTGTACCTGTGAAAACATTTACGTCAGCATTGTTCAACGACGTTAGTAAATATCTGATACCAGTTTGTTGGTGACAGATAACAAGATAAATGGAAGAATTTGAAAGCGTGTGTCGGGAGAGAAGGATGTAGAGGGAAGTGTCTTCTGGCTCTGGGCATCACTCGCGACTTGGAGGAAAAAAAAAAGAGGGGGGGGGGGGGAGCGAATATGAATGGTAACCAGATGGCAACAGGTACAGCGGGTATCATCAGTAAAGAAACTCTTCGTTGGCTGTTGAGGATGGTGACTGAGCTAATGGGGTCTTGTCCTGAATACTTTGATGTCGAACCTTACCCAGATGAACCCAGATGACACATCTTAGTCTTTTTTTACAAACTTTTTTTTTATTTTGAATAACCATTTTTTATCAAAATACTGACTTCAACATCGTTTCGCTACATCAGCTTTGCTGCAGCGGTGGTCATGGTTTGGAGTTCCTCGAGGAACTGAGTCTTCTGAATGGTGACAGACACTTGTCGTGCGGCGACCCAAATTACATCAACATCAGTGGCATCATGTGCTTCTTCCTGCTAGCCCTCTTTGTTAAAATAAGTCTCGTCCTGAAGGTCCTCTTTATGGTCATCGTCGCAGCTGGTCACATCCTGGTCATGGAGCTCACCCACAAGAGTTTGTTTGTCAAATTTGATGAGTCAATTCAGTGAGTATATTTGTAATATTTATGTCAATGTTTTTGGTATTGTTTATCTGAATAACAACAAATCACTCTCCATGGCTTCAGACTCCAAGCGTTTAACTATAAAAAGCAACAACAACTGTAAATGCACTAGAAAATAAATATATATGGATATTCTTCTTCTTGAAGTATCTGCTGTGTGGCATTGGTAGTCATGTCTATCCACAAATATATGTCTCGAGTACTTTCATTCAGCACTGACACAAATGATCCGCCATGACATGATGTCAAACTGTCCAGCTTCTCTCTGTCTGTCTGCCTCTGCTTCTCCTCCCCTCCAGCTTTACCATTGTTACGATATACTCGAGTTGTAACCGTCTCATGACATGACCAAATAATGAAGATTGTCTCCTTCTGATGTGAGTAATCAGTTCTCTTTGTGAGTCAGTTTCTTCCAGGACATCTTCATTATTCTTTTAATGGTTCATGAAACTCGTATCGTTCGTCTTCGGAAATTGATTAACATTAAATGAGATGGAGTCAAGAAAGACGAAGAAATCAGAAATATGCCCAGACAACCGGTTGTAAAAAGTTAAAAAAGGAAAGATCCCTTTTCACGCCTTTAGACGCATATGGAAAATAGGAAGAGCACTCATATTATTACAGACCAATCGGCACTAGGTGGATAATGTGGTCAGCATTACGCCAGCCGTCTTTACTTCCACGGGACGTATATCCTGGTACCCGTTTTACGCTGGGCCGACCTGCGACGTCCCATGCAATTACCAAAATCAACCCAGCCAGCTGTGGGCTTTGATCTTGACTGCCATAGAAACAAAAAAACTTATAGGACAAAACTGAATATTTACATAATTAGGATAGATCAGCGGCATAATTACTGCATCCATATGCAACATCAAACAGCATCATTATCATTGTTATCAGAACTGCAACTCTTCGTTTGCTGCAGAAAATGGGGACAGGAATCTCTTATAGGGGTGTCGCGAGTGCTGTGATGTCGATTCCTAATTCAACATTCCACTTTATCATCGTTCTCCTCCACAGTTCCTATGTGCCTACCCATGTTTACGGCATTCTGGCTTTCGTCTTGTTCCTGCTGGGATTTACTTTGCAGAGCCGAGAACAGGAATCCACCCTTCGCCTCGACTATTTGTGGAAATCACAGGTAAGCATTTTGAAACAAATACATACAAACAATGGCAAACTACTAGACGTAAATTTGCCTAGAAAAGCCACAATGATGCTGGGGTTGGTTCTGCAATGTCCTGTAAGAATACCCAACCAACTAATCAACATACACAAACACACATATATATATGTATGTACACACACACACACACACATATATATATATATATATATATATATGGGTACATATATATATCTACACATATGTATGTATGTATGTATGTATGTATGTATGTATGTATGTATGTATGTATGTATGTATGTATGTATGTATGTATATCAAGGATGAGCGGAGAATAATAGCTAGGATGCATAAAAGAAGAAGAAGGATGGGGGAGTAAGAAAGGAAATACAGGAGCATGGGGAAGGGAAAGAAAAATTGCCTAAAATGAAGGGAATAGGAGCAGTAGAATGAAGAAGAAAAAGTTGATAAAAAAGACTAAAAAGAAGAAACAGACAGAGGAGGTGAAGGAAGAGAAGGGGTATGATAAGAGGAAAAAAAAAAATAAGCGGAGGAAACGCTGATAATCTTCTAAAATGTATACTAATTCAATTATTTCAGGCAGCAGAGGAGAAATCCGGGATGCAAGAGCTTCAGAAACAGAATTCTCGGATCTTGTGTAACCTTCTTCCTGAACACGTGGCTAACCACTTCCTGAATCTTCAAACCAGCAGTCACATGGTAATCACGGGTTTTCTCATTCAACTGTTTTCTGTTTTTCGTAGGAACTGGAGTTATGGACCGTAACTTTGTCGTCAGCTAACCATTAATTTGTTTGTTTTAATTTCTTTCCCCCCCCCCCCCCCCCACCTGTCTTGCAGCCCTATAGCATCATCCTCACGACCCCCATGTCTGAAAAAAAAAGTAAAGGACTCTTTTCACGCCTTTAGGCTATAGGGCACAAGATGGGTAATGTGATCAGCATCACGTGGACCGCCTTTACTTCCCGGGACTGCACCCGGTACCCACTCAAGGCTGGGTCGACCTGAGAGCCAAGGTCATTTTTGAAAATAGTCCGGCTCCGACCCCCATGTCTACACAGTCATAAAATATGGTTGAACAGATGGTAGTGACTATGACAGTAACTGATCCCCCCCCCCCCACCCCCCCCCCCTTCCGGACATACCATACTTTGCTGCAGTGGAGAAGATCAAAACTATTGGCAGCTGTTACATGGGGGCGACAGGACTCAAGCCAACCCATCTAATAAAAGTGAGATGTGCTTACTTAGATACACTGGAACAATTATATCATTCATTCTATCTATGTCCTCTTCATGTGTTGTTGATATACTGGAACAGTTATATCATACATTTTATCAATATCGGGAAACGTTCTAGGAAGTAACAGTTGCCGCATAATATTGACCATATCGCACTTGGAATGCTGTGTGGCCTGTTAGCATATAGAGCAAGCACCATGTATCCAGTACGTCTCAATGCTGTCTACAAACGTAAATATGCAAACTCCTAAAATTCGGCCATATATATTTTGCTGTAATAACTTAATATTTAAATACGGTAGTACAATTATGGAAGCGTCTGGAAAATATAATACAATTAGAAAAGCTTTTGGGAAAATGCGGTACAATTAGGGAAGCGTCTGGAAAATACGTAAAATTAGGGAAGCGTCTGGAAAATACAATACAATTACGGAAGCGTCTGGAAAATTCAGTACAATTAGGAAAGAGTCTGGGAAAATGAAGGCGGCCATCGAATATTGAGGGGCCTATTGTATGGTGAAAATACATCAAACCAAACGAGAAGTAGAACTGGTCAGTTTCACTGTATCACAAACACAAACCACAAGTGAAAGTTGCACACAAGCACATTGCATAAATCTGCAATACCGCAAGTAAGGACAAAAATATATAAAATCGCTTAACTAGCGTATCTCTGAAAGAAATAACATTTCCCCCTGGTCAGTAGAATATCTGTAACGAGTGTGGCCACCGGAAATAAATACTGGCCAGAAAAAAAAAGCCACCAGCGACCTATTGTAATGTAGAACTAGTGTCATGTGCCCAGTACGACCCAAGACATTTTTTTCAAATTTAAAATTGAGGCTGACCGTAGTGCATCCACTGTTGTCATTGAGAATATTAGACTGAGAGGTCCCAATCTCTTCAGTGCGACTCTCGTACCACTGACTAAAAGCCACGAGAGTATTCTTTTTATAAACCACCTGCCGCAGAAATATAACTCTGGTAAACGTGGATGATTTAATTGTGAAATCGTTGTCACTAACCTTATAGACATAAAGCCGACTGACACTTGCATTTCTTTTTTTTTTTTTTTGGCTTTTTTTTTTTTTCTTCAAAAAACTTACTTTGACATTAAACTTACTCTTCTGACTTTCATGTTTGCCTCAGGAGCTCTATAGTCAACACTACAACACAGTTGGTGTATTCTTTGCCTCCATCCCAAACTTCTCTGACTTCTACGTGGAGTTGGCAGCAAATAACCAGGGCGTGGAGTGTCTTAGAGTTCTCAATGAGATCATTGTTGACTTCGATGAGGTTTGGTCACTATTTGTATTAACTCTTAGAGTACCTAAAGGCGTTTGTAGCTAATGTTTCTTTACATGCATTAATTTATGGCTATAAATGGTAAATTATTAGATATGCGACACCCATAAGATTGGATGTGTTGTCTGACTTTCATTTGTTTACAAATACAAAGTCATCGAGAATGATTGCCGGATTTTGAACTACGTTTATAAAAGAAGTGTGTAATGTATATATATATATATATATATATATATATATATATATATATATATATATATATATATATATATATATATATATATATATATATATACATATCAGTGGTGCTTAACATGTTCAGAAACCTTAAAGTTTTAGACACCTTAGCACACATTGATATGTACACAATATGTAGCTCTGTTGATGTCTGCTACGCCATTGAATCATATCAAGGGTTACAGTTACAAAATGTGGTTGTAGTAGTGCTTTGCTGGGAGGAAAATCGTCACATTCAACCAGAATCTCCAAAGGTAAATCTGTAGGTTATACTTGTGACCAGGTTATGTAGACCATATAAAATTGCTTAGCCATGCACGCCACCAAGAGCCCTGAAAAGGACTCCTGCAGTGTTGATGCGATCAAATAAGACAGACCAAAATACTGTCCCAGAAGTCGTCTACCGGCGAGCCAATGGGCGACCCGGTCGCCGATGTGTTGCAATATCTGCAGCGACCCGCTCTTTAAGGTGCTCATCTTTTCAACGCTGTTTTAAGCCTCACATTCATACACGGTCTCTTGAAACTAAACATTTGTGGACAATGTATGACGCCACAAATGTATATCGATGAAATACTTCTTTTTAAATAACAGCTTAAAAACCTGACAGTCATTCTCGATGACCCCTGTATTTGAACGCATATTCAATATTTATTCGAGAGCCATAGTGGCGTAACGAGAACATGTTCACCGCCAGTGTTAATGCGATCAAAGGAGATAGACCCAAATAATGTTCCGACCTTCGACGATGTCGTCTATCGGCGAGCCCATGTGAGACTGGGCGCTGATGTGATGTACTTCGTGGTCGATCTAGCTTTAAAGAGTACCAGGAAATGTCACTTAAAGTAAAGGCAGCCGACGTGACTACATCACACACTGAGTGCCGATTGGTCTATACAAATATGAGCCTAATCTCATTTGTCTGATGCCCCTCAGTCCACGAAATGATCCTTTGTCATTTTGGTTTATAGAAGTATTCATACATTCAGTGCAAGCTAAGTATTTTTTCGTGACCCTTTTAGTGTAAGCTATGTTCGCACTGATGGTCATTACATTTAAACTTATTTCAATATAAGCAAATTATTTATCAGTGGTCGTTATAGTGTAAGATAAATATGCATACTGGATAAATTCAGTGTAAGATTACATCTAAGGAGAGTGAGTATGCACCAATGATTGTTTAAGCGCAAACGAAATATTCATGCGCAATTATTTTAAAGTAGACTAATGAGTGAGTGATTAGAAAGGATTATCATCACGGCACTCCAGACAGATCCATAGTTGCTCCGATCTCCTTCTCAAAAGCTCCACAAGTGTAAAACGACTGATGGAGCCTGTTCTGTGTTGGTTGATGAAACTTCTTATCCCCTTAGTGAAATGTTCATTTCTTGCAGCTCCAGGCTGCACTCCCATGTCCATCAGTCTAGACATGGATATAGAGTCATGTCCTTTCGCGTGCTTCTCGGTACAAGAAGTGCAGCGCATGGCGTTGATAACATCACTTCTGTTTAGTACTGGGCCAGCCATAGCAACTGCAGTGTCAGCAAGATAGTCTGCACGCTCGTTCCCTTGAACACCCGCATAACCTGGCACAAAGATGAAGGTTAGGGTAGCTATTCGTTAAGTGCTTTGTGTTTCAATCCATTCTAGCCTGATAAATCCAGCTTGGATTTTTTAAACATACTTATTGAGTCACTAAGAATGCATACGTGTGTGAACTTTTTTCAAGCCATGCTAAAGCCCTTGTTACAGCCATAGTTTCCACTGTAAGGCTACTAGTTGTAACAGCAAAGGCGCTATTCATCTCCTTGATAGTTTTCCCCCTTTAGTAAAGGCCCATGCACTTCGCTTGCCCCTAATTACCGACCCATCTGTGTAAACTTTAGCATCACCTTCATCTGTTTCCGTCAATCAGTGTTCTGACTAAAGTGTCAACAATGCCAGGAATGTTCTCTCTACAGCTTCCATCAGGTGTGATATGGACTGTAATATTAATGTTTGAAGAGGGGAGCATATTTATCCATTCATTTCCAAAATTAATGTCAGAAAGGCCGCAAACATGTTCGATGGCATTCTCAGCCCGACCCATCCAGGATTTGCCTCGTTTGAGTCTACTCGTTTTTTCTCTTGAATGACTCCTCATAAAGTGGATGTCAAGTGTTTGACTTCACTCTGAGGAAAGCAACAGCCATGAGTAGCTTAATTCTGTTATCCATTGTGGGGAAATCCAAAAGGTATCGCATGGATTTACAGGAGGTGTCTCTAGTGCATCAACGAATAATGTGCATTGCCTCGTTTTCAATTTTTCCAGTCTGTTCATATGTATGGTGCTGATTGTTATGATGGCCAAGGCATAATCAATGGTGGAGAAAACTAATGCACCATACAACATTACTATTAGCCGTTGCTGAAAGTTTGCAGCTCCCATAACTTTTGTTGCGGAGAGACCTTTCTTGGCTTTGGTTATAATGTGGTCTACATGTTTTTTTTTTTTAATGTGCTAAGCATCTGTAAAATGTTATACCCAGGTATTTCATAGAATCAGATCTCTCCACGTCAACGCCACAGAGTTTTACTATCGGCATTGGTGTTTTAGAAAGGTGATTAAATAGTGAGAACCATGTGACTATCGCTTTTGATGGATTAATTGTTGCCCCTGAGTTGTTGCACAAGGATGATATGCGATCTAATTCCTGTTGTAGATCTGAAACAATGTCATCTCTGTTCCTGTCCTGTCGGTACACGAGGATGTCATCCGCATAAGATAGAGTTCTTCCTCTGCCACTCAGTTGTTCTCCGGTGATCTTGACTATGTAAGTGTTGAAGAGGATATGAGACAACGGAGAACCCTGTGGCAAACCAGGGTGTATTTTTACGAGCTCAGAATACCAACTACCACATCGAAGCACGACCATCCTCTGGAAAAGTGCGGCAGATATCCATCGAATGAGATGTGGGAGGATGTTGAGTTCAATTAACTGACACATACGTTGATGGAATGGAACTTTGTTGTATGCATCCTCTAGATCTATGGCGACTGCACATGTTTCAAATAGTAAACTAAGTAGCGTAAGCCAGTATTCATACGCGACGATTTCAGTATCTGGCAAGAACTTATAAATCTAACATCATCATTTACACTTCTGTTGCAGCTTCTGGACATACCATACTTTGCTGGAGTGGAGAAGATCAAAACCATTGGCAGCTGTTACATGGGGGCGACAGGGCTCAAGCCAACCCATCTAATAAAAGTGAGATGTGCTTACTTAGATACACTGGAACAGTTATATCATACTTTCTATCTATGTCCTCTTCATGTGTTGTTGACACACTGGAACAGTTATATCATACATTCTATCTGTGTCCTCTTCATGTGTTGTTGACACACTGGAACAGTTATATCATACATTCTATCTGTGTCCTCTTCATGTGTTGTTGACACACTGGAACAGTTATAACATACATTCTATCTATGTCCTCTTCATGTGTTGTTGACACACTGGAACAGTTATATCCTACATTCTATCTGTGTCCTCTTCATGTGTTGTTGACACACTGGAACAGTTATATCCTACATTCTATCTATGTCCTCTTCATGTGTAGTTGACACACTGGAACAGTTATATCCTTCATTCTATCTATGTCCTCTTCATGTGTTGTTGACACACTGGAACAGTTATATCCTACATTCTATCTATGTCCTCTTCATGTGTTGTTGACATACTGGAACAGTTATATCATTCATTCTATCTATATCCTTTTCATGTGTTGTATACATATTGTCACGAACCTACTTTACCGCCGTGAAGGCATATGGCTCGTGTGTAGACTCGTGACAGATATGTCCTTCCTCAAACACAACTATTCTCCAACCCCGTCTGAGCATACATATCAGTCTTTAATATACTTTAGCACAAGATATAAACAGTTCACCACAGTAGGGAGTTCGCGACCCTACAACAACCGACCGTGAGGGCTTTACAGTCACCACTCACACCAAAGCCATCCAATTGTTCCAGGTATTACCTGGGTCCGATCCAACAGTCTCCGATTAGGGTTCTTTTCTACTCTTATGTAAATGTTACTGGGACTGCAGTGCTACTGAGAAATATGAGTGGACCGACCTTGTCACATAACCAAACAGAACCCTTCTCGCACCAACCTGGCTAACGCACTGTTCAACATCTAAATGGATTGCGGCATAGGTCAACACAATAGATAAACATCGGCTAACACTAAACTTATCGTTCAGTCTAACTAAACGCATTACTACACACATACCTGTTGCTAAACTAAGTCTAACACAGTACATGTCTAGCGGTCAGATACAACAGACGTCCTGTCCAAAGCCTTACACAACTCTCTTCACAACTCTCCTAACAACTGTCCATTTTCCATTCGTTTTGTCGAATCTAATCGTTCCGGCCTGGTCCGTCAAAACCCCGTAAACCCGAAGTCTTTATCTTACCTGGCCAGGGTATTCTGGCCGCCGTCTATGAGTGTCACTGAACACCTGGTCAGATCCCTGTCAGCTGAGTGCTAACCTGATTTTTTTTTCATAATCATTGTACGACATCTTACAGCCACACAGGTCCCTGACATTCACCCCTCCCCTTTACTGATATTTCCTGATGAATGACACCTCTATTATCTTCCTAGTCTGCAGTCAAGTATCAAACAATACGATGTAAGATGTCGCTAAACCTGTCTCGGTGCACAGGCGATTATACACAATCAACATTTGTTTGAAACGGTATACATTTCAGAAGTACATTGCCAATATTAACGCAAATTATGTCAAGACCTGACACAAGTCAGTCACCGTTCCCGTCACCTTATAAGCATACTAATGACAATTATCCTCCCCACGACCCATTGAACTTCGCTCCATCAATACCAATGCTAACTTAATGCCACCGGCAACTCTCCACAGCCGACGGCTTAGTGATCCGTAACATGGTCGTCAAAAACCTGACTCTTTCATGGGTAGTCTAAGATTCTGTCGTATCCTCATGGTACCAGTTCTTGCCGCAAGACGTGTCTTATTACCGCTTATTACTAGCCATTAATTCTGGTCATCAGTCAGGACAGAATACCAAGCAAAGGTTTGACCTGCCTGACACATTTTCATCCACTCTGGAGAATGTTATCTTTCTTGTGCATTACACCTAAATATAAAACTATACAATCAGTTTACGTGTTCTCGATGTGGACACGAGCCTAAAACAAAATGTCAGATCTGTACCTTAACATTGTCACTATACCTACTACTTTTCGTAAATGTTTTATTTATATGTGAAAAAAAAAAAAAAAAAAAAAAAAAAAAAAAATTTAAGAACATTACAATGAAAATCAACATAGAAGAACAAATATGGAAATCGTGTTGCTCATCATAAATCAAGACCGCAGGAAGAACAATTATATTCAGCTTACTTTCAAATAATTAGTATGCGAACGTGCTAAAAAACGAAAGGAAAATATAAACAACCAACATTTACAAATTCAAATAAATAAAGCACATATAAAAAATACAAAACGTTTATAAGACACAGAATAATCTCCCCCAAGTAAATGATACGACTATATATATATTACTTCATTTAGGCACCGCGTTAGTGCAGTCGATAGGAGACTCGCTTTCAAATAAATCTGCGACTCGCGCAGCCACCGCCGGTGTTCGAAACCCGGGGTTCACCCAGCCTCTAGAAAATGGGTACCAGAGTTAACACTCTGGGGTAAATGGAGGAACGTCGCTGTAGCTACGGAGCTTCGTGCGGACGGTGACACAGGCAGACAGTTTCTTATCAGCTGTCCATACTGGTGGCAGAGCACTTATGGTTTATAACCGTGTACAATAAAGCTGGTTCAAATCTCCCAGCTTTACCTATTTATCTTTTCATTTCATTTCATATATCAATTCAGTGAACCTTTCACTCATCCATTCATTCCCATTTATTCTAGCTTTATTATTCATACTTCATTGTTTTAACAATCGCTGTGGACATCCTTAGAATCCTATGATAACTTTTGATTACAACACTTGTTTGAATGGGATTCTGTCTGAACTTTGTATATTGATCAGTTTGAACTTTCTGGATTGGCATTCTGAATTTATTCTAGTGTCTTGAAATAGGTTTCATTACGGCAGTTGCATTGTTTTAACATCTTTGCACACGCTGTCATTATATAGAGCAATATATTGTTCAACTTTATTACTAGTTTTCGTCACCCTGGAAGTTGGTCATGCAGTAGTCGGGTATGTGGAATGACGTACAACAAATTATATTATAAAGAAATGTTTTTATGGTAACGTGTAATTAATGTTCAAACTTGAACAGGGCAACAATGTTCAAGATTTTACTTGTGAGCATGTCTGGCTGAAGAAACAAAGCTGCATTCATTTTCTTCGCTCTTATATAATCCCAATGATTATAATATTCTGTGTGTGGTTCTGTAGTTTTATAACAGTCTCAACAGATTTACAGTTTTATTCGATGAGCCTTTATGTGAATAATTTTCAACACATAGCTCTGCAGGAATAACGCCCATCGATCTATTCAACTGTTCTTCTACATGCCAGATTTGATTAAAAAAATTTGGTTATCGATTCTGTAGCACACATTTCTTGAGCTTTGATCTGGAGAATATCATCGCTAGTCACCCGTGTTCTGCCGTAGAATACATCTGTTTTGCAGGTGTCAGTTTTCTGCTTACATAGTAGATCAGGTGCAGTATGTCTCCTTTAATCTGCATAAACAACCTGCTACAGCCGTTCCACTAGCGTCATGCCTGAGGATGAAATATTGTTTGAAATAGGTAATTTTAAAACGGTGGAATAAAGAAAAGGTCATTGATTCTGGAAAAGGCCCGATCAAGGTCCAAGTTCCAGTCTATCCAATTTGAGGAACCTTTTTTTTAACAGTCTTGTGAAGGCTACCGTTTCTGGCCGAAATTTGGGAGGAATTTATTATAATAATTGATTATCCCAAGTAGGCTTCGGATTTCTTTCTTAGTGGAGGGGTTTTTTAAGTTTAAAATTTTTGAGATAATTTTCTCGTTAATTCTCAAAAAGCTTTTATAAATTTTATTCTCCAAAAAGTCAATTTCCTACAAGGTAACTTTTTGACTTTTGAAAGTTTCTCTGGTTAGTAATGAAGTTTTGTTCTATTAAAACCAGTTTTCGAAATGTTAAATGGTTAGGTCCATCTTTGATACAGATTTGCATGTCATTAGTACATTTGACAATTAGGATGTGAATTCTAAAATACATACCCAATTATTAATGGTTCAGCATAACGCACAGCGGTTTATTCGTTTAACATTCACACGCTAAAGGATTTATTATCTTTTTTCTCTTTTTCAACTTTTGTTTGAATCTGTGTTAACACTTCTGGCGTAAACTGGGATTGTTGCCATTCCTCTATTTCTTGCTGGGTGCAATCATTTGGGTATTCGTTTGCTGTTAGAATGAAATCTGCAGGCGGTTTCACACGTGGGATGGCTTTTTATTTTCTCAGACAGGAATGGCAGTTCAACATTGACACCATCTACTTTTGCCTCAAATTTCCGGAACTGCATTCATGCTTTATGGTTTCCCCTTATAGTTTCCCTGATCTAAAGAGGCTTTTACAATTGAGAAGGACGGGTCAAAAGTTCTTACCACTGTGCCTGGGTTATCATTGAAAGTCCATCGTGTACGAATTGTCTACCAGTGTCCCTCTGCCAACTGCTAAAAAAAGTCCAACATGTGTCCGGTAAACCAAAGTAAGCTTGTCGCTCGGTCGTCCAGGCATGCGGACTGTTTTAATTACGCTGTCGCGGCGGCTTCTTATCTCACAGTACCTCCTTCGAAACCACTAAGTCGTCTTGTCTCTGGCCGAAATAATAACACCACCCGGTAATTCTGTGCAGCGGGGAAGCAGCCCTGAGCTTCATGAACTCAGGTGGGCCCACCTCCGAATACGTTTAGGAATCGTGGGCCGAAACGTGTGTCGACGAGGATAATTTCTACTGATGACTGTAGATCCCCGCTGTAGTTGCTCCCTGTGAGTTTATTCTTATTTATGATACCCTTACAGTTGTCACAGTGTGTTTTACATTTTTATGCTGCTATGGTACTATTCGACGACATGAGAGACTTCTAGTTTCATCGACGCTGCTGTATCTTCACTACGTGATTCTGTATCTTCAATAGGCGCCATTAGCAAGCACTCTATTTCGCTGGAAACATTTGCCACACCAGCTGCACAAGTAGGTTCTGGTTTGGGGAGCTTAGTGTCTCCCATCATTTTAGATGTTTTACCTACAGCTCCCTGTTGCAGTGCGTTTCTGAAACTGCATTACCATCTTGCTGGCTTATGTCTATAGTACCTGGACGCACAATTAGGACTTTACTCATTCTAGTCGAATATGGTGTCCTATGTTATCCTGTTGTTTTATACAACCACACAACGTGCAATCACTTTTAGGTTGTTCAGTGAAATGTACTGCTGCGCTTGATGTAAGGCTTGTGTCATTGCTTACATTTACCGTTTTATTACCACTTTCTTTGATTTACATTATCCCCGGACATTGTTCCCGTCAGTGTCCTCTAAAATGACACAGGAAGCAAGTTCTTGCCCGCTGCTTTGCGACTGCCTTTATTAGCAATATGCCATTCATTCTGGTTATTAGTCTCTCAGGGAACTTTGGGTGTTTATCACAAAGTTCAGCATTTTTTTAAGCATATCACAATATGCGAAGGTGGTATCATTCGATTTCACTACGGGAATGTTATTCTTCTTCTTAGCATTCAGAATTATTTTTACAATTTCTTGCGAGCAGACTTCATTCAAGGGACTGTAGTCACACATCTGGAATGATCCATGTCTTTCTTACAATAGAAGCAAGTTACCACCTCTCCCCTGTCTCCTTCGGTGACTTTTTACATGACCGTGATAGTGGATTTTGTGATGGCCATGAAGGAAAAGTTGAAAAATATCAATGAAAACTCATACAATAATTTTGAGCTACGAGTGGGTGAGTTTGCAGTGCCTCTGTTTCGTGTGATTTATTTTAGTAATGTAAAAATACAGTTGCCAGAATGTAAGCAAAATATTATTACCATACCTAGAGACACATAGGATATACGATCTTCTGAACGAATGCTGAAGGAAGATGTTAGATGCAGTAACATGTCTGAGGTGTATGCATTAGGAATTATGATGGATCCGGCATGAAATGATGTTTGAGGAGAACAACGTGTGTACAAGCAGTGTGCTTACTGGAGCAGACAGTATCTACACCTCAAGACATTTGCTGCGAGAGATGAAGCGTCTAAAACTCAGTCATTTGTCTAAAGTTAGGGACTTTTGGCTTTGGTGAACATCTACCCGCAGACTTCTGTCATATTTAGTGACCTCGGTTTTCATTTGATGACCACGGCTACTCTCAGCACTGGTTTACTATAGACACTGTGTTAATTCTGTGTGCTTACAGTAGTGTCTTGTGATTTCACTGTTTATCGCACGGCTACTGAAGCCACTGGGAGCCCATGCCTGCGGATCTAAAGGTTGTGCGTTCAGGTCTTGGCGGAGCCGCACTTTTTTTAAAAATAACCTTAGCTCACTGGTCGACCAAGCTTTAAATGGATACCATATACAGTCATGGAAAGTAAAAGCACCTGGGGCGATACTGACGGCATCACCCACCGAGTGCCGACTGCCCATAAATATAGGTCTACTTCTAAATGCCCAACCGAATGTGTAAGAAAAAAAAGAGGGTCCTTTACTTTATTGTAGCCATTCTCATTTATCTATGTCAATAAATTGTATGTTGGTTTGGAAATCATATAGTCTGTTTAAGTTCATTTAAGTTAAGTTGCCTTTGCATGCCAGAAACAGTTATTCATAAATACCTTTATTTTATGGATATTTGGCTTTGCGCCTACATTTATCTTGGCGGCTAAATGCTGTGATGAGAGTCCGGCGAAACCTGAGCAATAGATGAGTGAACCTAGATATTGCCCAGTGGTTACGTCGCCTAATTCCGAGGATAATGTCGGTTGGTTTTGCTAAATTAAAAACAAAACTTTGAGCCAATAGCTTGAATGTGTCCCTTCTTTGAATGGCGTGTTTCTCTAACACGTTGAAGTGAAAAGGAATCAGGGCGAGAAAAGATGACATAATAATAGTGAATTCTGCATTTCTGAAATGCATATTTCGCCTTATCAAGATGAAATAGCGTAAAGCATTCTCTCTCTTGGTCTCCTCTACCACACTCTTTGTTATCGCGACGTTCTCTAGGTGACGTATTTCCACCAAAGAATGCTTACTTTCTCTTTATGATGTAGGTAATCAGCTGTCTTTATGAGTTAATTTATTTAAAAGAATTATTATTATCATCTGTGTCTCTTTATTGGTTTTCGTCATCTTATACTATTAACTGAAAATCAATGCGTCTATATATTTCTCTGTCACAAAAGCTCCTTCCAAAAGGACCAGTAGAGAGGTGAAATTTGTAGATATCATTCTGACTGCAATGTGTAAGTCAACTGTGCTCATTTTAACAAGCTTCTTACGTATTTCTGATAAGCAACGCATCCAATTTCAGCAAACCCATACATAATTGGTCACATTTTACCACAAGCTTTTTAGGGGCTGGTGAGTCTAAAAAAACAACAAGCATGGGGATCCGCTTCATATAATAATACTGGAAAAATACTGATAGAAGTCAAATTTCTAAAAGAGACAACATGAGTAAGATTGCGTGGATTTGAAATTATAGGTCTTAAATAATAAGACGTATGAGAGGAAAAGTAAGTGATATAAACATCCAGTATACCACGGCACCATTCAGCAATTAAATCTTAGGACATTTTCTGCTGGAGACTAAACACCTGTAGGTATCTCCAGGATGACATAGGGTCAATTTGTAAATAAGTAATCTTCCGTGTGGGTTCTGGAACCACATTTTTGGGGTAAAAGGAATGGACCCACTACTCCTTAACAAGCATTTCGTAAAAAAAAAAAAGACTACAAATGAAAGAGTTGCTGAAATTGGATGTGTTCGGCCAACAGAGGCTGATGGCTGATATAACAGCCTAGCTGTAAACCACAACACAGCGTACCAGCTGTCCTTTTAAGGACGAACGTCAAATAAGAGAAAGAAGGAGGATGAGGGGGAATAAAAAGAGGAAAAGGAAGAATAAGAAGAATAAAATAGAATAAGAAGAAGAAGAAGAAGAAGAAGAAGAAGAAGAAGAAGAAGAAGAAGAAGAAGAAGAAGAAGAAGAAGAAGAAGAAGAAGAAGAAGAAGAAGAAGAAGAAGAAGAAGAAGAAGAAGAAGAAGAAGGAGAAGAAGAAGAAGGAGAAGAAGGAGAAGAAGGAGAAGAAGAAGAAGAAGAAGAAGAAGAAGAAGAAGAAGAAGAAGAAGAAGAAGAAGAAGAAGAAGAAGAAGAAGAAGAAGAAGAAGAAGAAGAAGAAGAAGAAGAAGAAGAAGAAGAAGAAGAAAAAAAAGAAGAAGAAGAAGAAGAAAGAAGAAGAAGAAGAAGAAGAAGAAAGAAGAAGAAGAAGAAGAAGAAGGAAGAAGAAGGAGAAGGAGAAGAAGGAGAAGGAGAAGAAGGAGAAGAAGGAGAAGAAGAAGAAGAAGAAGAAGAAGAAGAAGAAGAAGAAGAAGAAGAAGAAGAAGAAGAAGAAGAAGAAGAAGAAGAAGAAGAAGAAGAAGAAGAAGAAGAAGAATGAAAAGGAGGAGAAAGAATAAGAGGAGGAAAAGGAGGAAGAGTTAAAAAAAAAATTAGTACTAATAACATGACTAATGTATTTCAGGAATAAATGTGGGCTCGGTGGTCGCAGGTGTAATTGGGGCCAGAAAGCCTCAGTATGACATATGGGGCAATACAGTGAATGTGGCAAGTCGCATGGAAAGTACTGGAATACCTGGGAAAATCCAGGTAGTGTAAAACGTCGTTAATTTAGTAAACATCACAGGAAACGGCGAATACATCAAACAACTTCAACAACTAGGGTTTGTTTTAGGCTCTGTCGACGTGGAAGCTTAGATGTTAGATGGGATATTAAAACAGCACCTTAGCCTGCCAACTGATAAGCACACCAGTAACAGTTTTTTTGTGTGTGGGTGCTGTTTCCTCCAAAAATAGTTCTCGGCATATTTTTAGTCATTATGTAGCAGGTCCTTTGCAGATCGTCGCTCTCATCGCGGTCTGCATGAAAGAAACTCGGTCTCTCGCCACCTCTCCCGCCTCGTGGACTTTCATATTTAAGGAGTCACTTATATCCTGCTCCCATCTTCGTGTTGGTCGGCTCCTTGCCCCTCCTTCCTGGTCCCAAGCCTTCTGCTATTATTTTTTTTCCCAAAAAAAGCGCCAGAGCGCTTCATCTGACCAAAATATTTCAGTTTTCGAGACAAGAAACAAGGTACAGACTGCTTTAATTATGCTACCACAACGACTTCGTATCTCACAGTACCTTTAGCAGTCACCAGTTCGTCTTGTCCCTATCCGAACAACATCCGGTAATACGTACAGGAAGAGAAACCAACCCTGAACCTCATGAACTCAGGTATGCCCACTCTCTGAAAATGTATAGAAGCTCGTGGGCCGAAACATTTGTCGACGAGAGGTTACTTCTACTGATGATTGGTAGACTCCTGCTGAACATGCTTCCCTGTGGAGTTTCTTCTTATTAACCAGTCTTCCTTGATGTTCAGATCTTTTAAAAAGTCAGTATTTCTCTCTCTCTCTTTCTCTCTCTCTCTCTCACACTCTCTCTCTCTCTCTCTCTCTCTCTCTCTCTCTCTCTCTCTCTCTCTCTCTCTCTCTCTCTCGTGTGTGCGTGCGTGTTTCCATGGTATTCTGAGAGTCGTTCTATAGCATTTCAGCTCAAAAGCCATATTGCAATTGTATAGTAAAGTAATAAATTAAAAGATTATTTTACGCCAGTGCAGCATCAGTATATCATGTTAGACTGATGCTTTTAGTAGACCAATCAGCATCACGTCGGCCCACTTTATGTCTCATGACATTACGGGCAACGCATTTTAGGTTGGGTCAGGTTTGAGAAGAATCCGCTTCAGCTTCTGTATATTGTCGTTTAAACAGTGTTGATGACATGATATTTTCTGTTCCACATAAGACTCTTTACTATGAGACACTGGCATACCCTTAGCATGAATCACATTTATAATGTCGTTGACCGTTGGTCATTATATATACATTCACAGTTTGTTTGTCATGTATACTGTTAGACATTTATGAGTCTTTCTGCCATAATGCCAAACTGTCTAGTGTCTCTCCTTGGTCTCTGGCAGTCTCTCTCTTTCATTCTCTCTCTCTCATTCTCTCTCTCTCTCTCTCTCTCTCTCACTCGCTATTTTTTCAAATGTATCTTTTGCAGCAAGAAGCAATCCAGTGTTGTTGTTTTAAAAAAAGTAATCAGGACTTAGCATTCTAATATAAAACGATATTTTGGGGTAAAATGTGTACATTTATGATACGATTCCAAGCTGACAGAGCATTAACAAAACTTTTCAGTCATGAAAGTATTGATATGTCAATAAAGAGTCCAAGAGGTTAACTACAACTTAAATAAAATATACACGGAAATGGCCAGTGAGGAATAAGGTTTTTTTTGGCATGCTGTAAAAATCCCTCTTCGCGCATTTAGGCACATCGGGCATATGAGAAAAGCACTCATATTTTTTCAGACCAATCGGCACTAAGTGGGTAATGGGGTCAGCATTACGCCGATTGTCTTTACTTCCCGAGGACGTACATCCTGGTACCCATTTTAAGCCCCCTACCATGATACAAATCCACGTAGCCAGCAGTGGGGTTCGTTCGCGGTACGCTGGAATTACAAGTCGGACTCCCAACGCCCAAGCCAAGGTGGCAGATTTGGCATGCTGTGACCAAACTTTAAAATGTAACTCATTGTGCGATGGCACAGATTCACTGTATGAAACAAATAACAAGACCTGTATTGTTATGACTGAAAGAGTTGAACACGATTATAATTTTAAAACCACTGGTAAGATTTATAGTTCACCGTATAGGTTCAATGGCTTCTTTAAAGATGAGGAAGTGGAGAAACATAGACCCTGTGAATCTTAACAAGCATGTCGTAAAATGTGATTAATTAAGGGTTTTCTGAAATCGGAAGTGATAGGACAAAAAGGTAAGATATCGCAACCCAGATGTAAACAACAACATAACATGTCAGCATCTATGTTAAGTGGAACCGTAGAAGATGAATGTATAGATTTATAGTACACTGTCCTATGCAGAAATTTGCCAATTCTGAATGAATGATATTTTTTCTTCTCTGAATCACCTCAATAATTGACATGCTGCAACACAGAATTGAAAAAAAAAAATTATAATGTTTATTTCTAGAAATTATACACACATAATGCCTTCTGTTATTTTTTTGCTATAGGTGACAGAGGACATCTATGGAGTTCTAAAGAATATATTTACATTTGAGTGCCGCGGAAAAGTTCAAGTCAAAGGAAAAGGGGACATGATCACATACTTCCTGAAAGAAAGAATGACAGCAAGGGACTTAAACTACATATACCCACCTATCACGCCACCGGCTACCCCACGTATTGCAGTTCTTTCCCACAGGTTGTGTGAACATATATTTGTGAAACGTTAGCTTTATAATACACCTTCTCCTCGATTTAGGACCTATGCGACTTAACAACCATTTGCACTTACGACCACACACGCACACGCACGCACGCGCGCGCGCGCACACACACACACGATAAATAATAAACAACAGAAGATAACTACATTCTTCTTCTTCTAATTCATTACAACAGCTGTAACCCCAGCTGTAACCCTAGCTGTAACCTCAGCTGTGACCCCTGTATGGCGTGCAATTTTGTGTTTTGGTCGTAAGCCCTATTATAACTTAACGTTTAAACTGGGGTTCTTTGACCTGTCCCTGGATGATCCTCATCCGAGTGTGGCGCTTTGTGTCCCAGGGTGTTTATCGTTTGGTGTGATGTTCTGGTGCGGTTGAACGTCAATCAGTCTGCCATCTAGCCGCCAGCGGAAATTATGCAATTAACCATCGCACACCAAGTCGTTCCATACTTCGCTATTGCATATAGCTCATCCCATGTCCCTATTTTTTGAACTTCACTCTCTGTCTCCTTTCTTCCTGCGTTTTTTGATCCGCCTTTTTTGTCTATGCCCCCGTGTGTTCCATTGCACAGACATCATAGATATATTGTTCTTATGTTTTCTCAGCTTGTGTCCTATCCAACGATAACTGAATAGTTGGGATCAAAAAGTTCTCGAACTGATATCTATAGCGCAGCAGGGTCGTGACCTCAGAGTTTATATGAACCTATCGCTATGGAAAACTGTTTTTATAACCTGTCTGATTAAAAAATATGTCGAAAAATATAAATTCAGCTAACGACCAGTTCGACTTTCGACATGTTAGTCCGAACGGAAGTCGAGAAGACCCTCTTGTTGGTCCACCTACTTAACCATTATGTCCTACCTTTTTTGAGTTCTTTCTTTCTATGTTAGAGTATAGGATCTTTGCAAACTCAAGCCAAATCACCTTTTGTCATCTGAGGCAATTGTTTCGATAAACTCCTTTCATCATAGCTTTTTTTTTTACTTGGAAAAAAAAAAAAAAATGCTGGTGCTCACCACAAATTGTCAAAAAGCAAGAGTACAGATAATTAACACCAAATATTATTGTAGTGTTGAAAAAAATATTTTATTTAGGGCCAGAAAAAAAGGCCTTATCTTTCATACCTTTTAAGTTATTCTGTTCTGCGTAGGTTACCTTTTTTTTTTGTTTACATGAGAGCAGCGGTCAGTTGTGGAGTACAAAATCATCCTAGATGCGGATTCGAACCCCCGACCTTCGGCCCAGTAGGTAAGCGGCTAGCCACAAGGCTACCGCTACTCCCTTCTAGGCGGCTGGCGCGATGTTAACCACATCACCAAGTGCCAACTGGTAAACACAACTATGATTCTAGCATCACATACCTGAAGCGATGCTGGTGTAAAAAGTATCATTTACTTTACTTTATTCTGTGCACTATCGTGTATGTTTATAGTTTATTAGTAATTTTTTTAGTCAGTTGTAAACAGTGTTTGTTTATTTTATGTACATAAATGCCTTAACAAAATATGGAGCTCGAAGTTACACAGCTTTAAGACCAAACTACGAATCTTCCTTTGTAACGTTATTTTAATTCTAACACATGCCAGCGAAAGTAGGGGAACTACTAGTGATTTGGAACGAAACCTAAATGCACTTAGAAATCTGAGGAAAAAATGAACAAAATGGGTAAATTTTTATAAAAATGAGATCAGAAAAATGTCTGGACCAAAACATGCATGCATCGACTGAATTAGGACAAAGAAGGTGGTAGTATATTTGGCACACTCTGAGACGTAGTAAACAAAGAATTACAAAACAAGCACTAAAATGAGAAACATATGGTCTTAGAAAAAGAGGACGGCCAAGGGAAACATTAGGAATAATATTATTACGAGAAAGTATAAACGCTGGGTCTGAACTCCAGGTCAGAAATCGATTGAGTTACATGCAATAGAGCGGAGTGGAGGAGTCGGATGCAAGCCCTTTGTGGCATCTATGGGGACACGGCACATAGAAGTAGAAAAAGTAAGTGGAATTTGGGGAGATTTTTGTTTGGAAGATGAGTCACCTTCCACGATAACGGCAGGAATCACGTGATAACATAGGAAATTATATGATAGCTACAGGAATTCTACAGTAGCATCAGGAATTCTTTCTGTTGTTTCATATCGTAGTCGCTAATCTCTTGTAGAGCGTTTGGGGTGATTTTGTTGAAAGCTAGCGTTCCAAAATGCTCGTGTTGGCAACCATTTTAAATTTTTTTTTAATTGTTATTATTCTTCTAAAATATACGATAATGTTACCATTGAATAAGTTGACACACCTGCTAACTACGGCTCTATCAGGGTGCCACCTCTCAACAACTTTTTTGAATTTACCACCACATGGTCAAAAGATCTTGGATTTCAGCAGTGCTAACCCTTCCAGCTTCCCTCTTTTCCTCTCCGGAAGGAATTACTTCTGCAGTCTCTTCCTTCTGCTGCTAGTGAAGATGCTGAAGCCCTTGTGTTGTGAGACTAGTCGCATGATCGGCACATGCCAAGCGTTTATGGTTTCAAAGGCAATGTCATTTATTTGAAAAATGTTTTCGTATTTCAAGTTGTTAGAGTTTTGAGAAGTTTGAATTCCGAAGCACCACTGTATGTGTGTGTGTATTTATATTTATATTACACACATATATACATATATACGTACATGTGTACAAACATATATATATATATATATATATATATATATATATATATATATATATATACATATACATATATTTTTATGTGTATACATAGGTTTGTATATATATATATATATATATATATATATATATATATATATATATATATATATATATATATATATTGTTTTCAGATCCAGTGAAAATTTTCCACTGCCTGTTGTGGGCAGCCCAGATACTTCAGTTTCTAAGACAATGGGAACCTCTGCCAGTATGAAACATTTGCTCAATGCAGCCAGCATAGATCGCATCTGCGACTACGGTTCTACAAGAGAGCTGAAGACATCTAACAATAGGCTGACTCCTAACGGAAGCCTCAATAAGAGACGACGCTGTTCCATTGACAACGCTACTGTATGTAAAAACCATCTGAAAAAATTTAGCATCTCAGCATCCGGCCGCTGTATCTCTAGTGAGCCTGTATATCGGACTAGCAGTCCAGAACTGCCTGCTGTCCACTATTTTAATTCAAAAATGAAAAGCCATCTACGTCCGGCATCAATAGGAGTGCAGAATGCAATATTTGATAATCTTAAAGTGAGATGTTCTTCACTGAGTCCGCTGAGTCCTCTTAGCCCTAAGTCAACAGTATCTGAAGGTGGCCACATTATGAAGATCAAGACAAGTCCAACAGCCTCACAGAACCATTTATGTGTATCTCATTGCCTACGTAAAGTTCTTTCTGAACCTAACTGCAAACCTCCTTCTATCCCGTTGACAAATGGCAGTCTACAATATACAAAACCGTTGCCAAACGTTTACCGGGGTGTATCTCCTCCTTACTTAAAAAAGGTCAGTGAAGACTCTGTTCTCGAAAATTCTGTGAAGTTTAACATTGAGGATTACGAAGCTCCAAAGAAAACCTGTCCATATAAAAATATTCTGCCACTGAGCAATAGTTTTGGAGGCGTTATCGAAGGATATCATTATAACTATCTTTCTGACGGATCTGCCAGACCTCTGCCTCCAATACCCTCACCTTCGTTTCCTAATATCTCTGTGTGTGTTTCGGGAGATAAATTTGTGACTGGCATCTATAGAGAACCCCTGGACAAGTCCTATTCAAAGATATTGTCACAAAGCAGCGCTGCTAAATCGATATCATCACGAGTAACCAATGGGTTTCCTGGCAACGTTGTCATAACCCATGACGATGTTCCCGAGTCTCAGCGTCATATAACAACAGCAGCAAAGACCGCCGTCAATCATAGGAGGCAATCATCTATTGAGTCTACGGAAAGTAGCACTTCGCCAGTTTCACTTACATCGACAAGAGGACTTATTGCAAATGAAAGCAAAAACAAATCATTGCATTCTGGCAACAATGGAGATCCCAGTTTAGATAAATATGATAGTAACGAGGGGAACAGTGTTATTTTGAGTTCAGTTTGTGATAGAGGCACACACGTTTTGAGAAATAGTATCAGTCATATGCCCTGTGCATCTGTTCAAGACAAGAATGAGTTCAGAAGGACGTACCCAACAGTGCCTGATGACGAACAAGTATATTGTTCACCTCCAAGACAGAAAAAAGATGATTTCAGCCTCAATTTAACCACTGACGATGAGAAAGATTCGATTTATTCTTACCCCTACAGTGATGGCAATTCTTCTTTGCTGCTCAGCCCTGTAAAGACAGAGCCTACCAGAAATGCTTTTAAAAAACAAATGACACACCATGAAGGGAATCAACATGCACGTTACTATCTCTTTGATTCTCCGTACAGTAGTTTAGAATGGGGCAGATCTCGATCCAGTGATGCAGTCAGCAGCATTCCCTACTCCCCACTTCTACCAAACCCACCTGCAAATGAATCACCCGTGTCACCAACCAAGTTCATGGCGGATTTCGCTAGGCAGTATAATCCCACAAGCATTAACCAGTACCCTGACCCTCTATATAACCTATTGCCACATCAATTAAAAGACAAAAGCAGTACATCAAAAAGAAAAGACAAAATTTTAAGCAAGCAACAAAGAGTTGGCAATGAAACCTTTTTAACTAAAATGTCTACAAACAAGGGTGATAGAATAAAAATGCAACAACATATTTCTACAAACCCATTCCAAGTTAAACGACCTCAGTTGCATTACATACCACCTCGCAACTGCAAGAGTTTGGACTACTTTCCTGCAGATCAAGAAGATAACATTGCTGGATCAAAAACTTCTAGTGCACTTAATACCAAAGCACGACATGCTTACATTACACCTCTCATCTTTGGGAATGAGAGAGCCGCCTCAAGAACAGACCACACTAGTTTGTCCTCTCTCGTCAGCAGCAGCGAGATGTCGTGTTCAGACTCACACATGAACACTGAGTCAGAATCAGGGGCGTATGACTATGAATATGACAGTTACCCGCCTAGTGCTAGAACTGATGATGAGCTTGCTGTCCTGCAGTCCTTGAGTGACAAGGAGACGGACATTCTCGACGATGTCAACGTTGACAATGTGACAGTGAGTGATAATTTTAGCTTGGATATGCCGATACCCAAGTTCCACCACAAATAATAAAATGTGTTAAGATATTTTGGGTGATACCTATATAACAATGAACGATATTTTAGGCTTTGATAAGCGGTGCCCAAGTTCCACCACAAATAATAAAATGTGTAAGACATTATGGGTGATACCTATGTAACAATTAACGATATTTTAAGCTTCAGTAAGCCGATACTCAAGTTTCATCACAACAATAAAATGTATAAGATATACTGGAGGATACATATGTAATAATGAACGATATTTTAAGCTTTGACAAGCTGGTACCCAAGTTAGTTCTATTACATATAATAGAATGTGAAAGATATACTGGGCGATACTTATGTAACAATGAACGATATTTTAAGTTTTGATAAACCGGTACCCAAGTTCCCCTACATGTAATAGAAGGTGTGAGAGATACTGGGTGATACCTATGTAACAATGAACGCTATTTTAAGCTTTGGTAAGCCTATAACCAAGTTCCACCAAAACTAATACAATGTATTAGGGTTCTACCGAATATTGGCTTCGTATTCGCTTCGGGGCCGAATAGTGGATCTAGTAACTATTCGGTACTCGGCCGAATAGTTGCGGTCGGGCCGAATAGGAATAGTGGTTACCTTATTCCAGTTTCTGCATACACTGCGATGGACTGAAATAACTCTCTCATTAACACAATATTGGCTGTTGCCTAAGTCTGTCGTAGCGGGGGAAACTGCGACCCGGTTGCATGGTACAAACTGCATTAAATGCCAACCGCAGTGTGTATGTGCGCGCGAGCGTGTGTGAGTGTTTGTGTGTGTGTGAGAGAGAGAGAGGAAGAGGGAGAGATATGGTGCATTTTTTTTTCTTTCACATTGTCTTCGCCAAAATCAAATTTGAAGATATTGCTAACGAGAATGTGAAGGTGCGTTTAAATTACATCGAACGAAGGGCCGAGCGAACGATGGTTTTGAAAGAGGCGGGAGCCCGAAGACAACTAATCACATACATCAGAAGGAGATAGTCGTAATTTTTCAGCCAAAGAGGGAAAATAGAATAGGTGACCGCTGGAAAGATCTGTGAAAGAAGGGATAGAGGAAGACAACGATAGAAGATTCTTGACAGTCTTGTTGCATGGCATGGATGTTTGTCAGCACACGAACTAATACATGCTGCAGGAGATCTCAGATTGTGGAGGGGCATGATCGCCCACGCCAGTCGACAATGTGTCTGATGATGATGATACACTATTCGTATTCGTATTCTGCCGAATAGTTGGTCCCACTATTCGTATTCGGCCGAATAGTGAAAATCACTATTCGGTACAGCCCTACAATGTATAAGACGTACTGGATGATACATATGTAACAATGAACGATATTTTAAGTTTTAATAAACCGGTACCCAAGTTCCACTACATGTAATAGAAGGTGTAAGGTATACTGGGCGATATCTATGTAACAATGAAAGATATTTTAAGCTTAGATTAGTCAGTACCCAAGTTCCTCCCCATATAATAGAATGTGGGAGACACACTGATAATATCTATGTAACAGTGAATGACAATTTTATCCTAAATATGTTTGTTGGTCTGTGAATCCCCAGCTAGATACTAACTGTAGGTTGAAGCATTCCTGCGACTTACAGGATCGCACAGTGGATGGCAGATTAAGAAGGCAAATCATTATTGCCCTATTTAACCTCAAGATACCACAAGGAACGTCCTTTGAGAAGCGGGAAAATAATCACCAAACAGGCACAAACTGGAAGCAAATGGTTTGAGAAAACGAGGAAGTGCAAGAGAAACGATAAACTTTTACAAGTCATGCTAAAGGTGCTAAATTGGATTCCATTCACGATTTCAAAAAGATACCACGAGACAGAGGAAAATAGAAGAATAGACTGTCAGCATTGTATGAGCATGAAGGGATGATGATGATGATATGATGGATGCGATGGTGATGCTTTTGATGATAATAAGTGTGACAGTGAATGTTAATCCGTAGCTGTCGGCACCAGTTAATCTCAACTTTCACATGCCTGTAATGTTTCAACTGTTAACAGTGAACATTTAATATTCAGTTGTCTTTATTGCGATGAATGAAACTGTTTGGATGAATTTTTATTATTGCCGTGGCACCCTTGGCATACGCCCGCGACAACCCAGGGTGCCGCTGCACCCAGTTTGAGAACCGCTGGTGTAGTTAGCCGTACTTCAACATCGGCTTGTTTTCTTAATGAGGCACTGTTATTATTTGGAAGCCGGAGCCCCGTCTTATTAAAAGATGCCGAGTATAGTCATATTAGTCATACACACTGATATCACGCCTCACATTCTTAGATGTTTTGCAATATATAAAGAGAACAATTCAGAAGTCAGCTTTAGAGCTACAAAATGAACGAATGAACTGTTGTTTTTAATGTGTGTCTTGGTGTGTGTGTGTGTGTGTGTGTGTGTGTGTGTGTGTGTGTGTGTGTGTATGCGTGTATGTGCTAGCGCACTCGAGCGCTTGCTCGCTCAAGCGTGCTTTCGAGTGACTACGTGAGTGTATTTTTGTTTTCCATAATATAATTTGCTTATAAATGTACATTTTAACATGCATTTTTGTTCTCAAGTTTGTCAGGGAAAAAAAAAAGCAAGCTTGTATTGTCAAATTTGTATCGTGTAAAATTTCACGTTTTTTTTTCAATACTATATATATATATATATATATATATATATACACACACACACACACACACACACACACACACACACACACACACACACACACACACACGCACACATACACACATACTTTTAATTATCAAAAACTGGTAGAGTGCAGTGGCGCATGAGACGAAAAGGCATGGGTCTTTTTGATCCCACTAGATAAATTGTAAGCAGGGCAAATCAAACACTCCAACCACTTACACTTATGTGAACATTTTTGTTTAAACTTATATGGTAATACATTTCACATATTTAGCTTATCGCTGACTTGTTCCATACTACCATTGACATTAACTTGTGATTGCACAATGTGCCGTAATTTAGGCACAATTTAACCTACACAGTCAGTCAGGTAAGTAGCCTGTCCTTTGCAGAACCTCGCTGCCATAATAACCCTCCGCAAAACCTCTCGATCACATGCAAGATGTCCCACGTCCGATACACCCATCTGGAGATCATCCGCCACATCCTGCACCCATCTTCTCTTTGGCTTTCCTTTTCCTCTCTTCCCAGGCGTATACCCCTCCATTATTGTTCTCTCTAAACTTATGTGACTTTTGAAGTAACCAAAATATTTCAATTTTCTGTGTTTTTTTCCCGCCTTTTATAGCCAACATTTTTCAATATTTAGTTCTTGAAGTATTGATCAATTTGTTCTTTTCTGTGCCCATTATATTCTTAGCACACAATCTGTAGCGATTCAAAAAATTTCCCCTTTTCACAAATGTGATTTGTTTTAAAAACATATTTTTTAAAAATTCCTCAGAAAATTTTTCAAATTTCAGTAAAAATATTTTTGATACATTATCTCAGGTTTTTATTTTTCTAACTAGTTGCGACCTTTTTGAAATGAATAAAATAATCAGCTTGAAGTGCAGCAACTCCCACCTTTTACTGACTTCAATATTTTAAAATGTTCTCAGACTAACTGCATCGGCGACTGGGTCGTCCATTGGCTGTCCAGTGGACGACTTCGTCGCCGGTCGGGACAGTATTTGAGGCTGTCTCCTTTAATCGCATCAACACTGCAGGAGTCCTTTTCAGGGCGACTTGGTAGCGTGCAATACAAAGCCATTTTATATGGTGTACATAACCGTCACAATTATACTATAAAGATCCCCCTTCAGGAAAGCTGCTTGAATGTGACTTTTTCTTTTCGCAAAGCAAGTTAAGCCTAGACATTACCTGGTGTGCTTTAAAACGGTAGGGGCCTCAGCGCTTTATTCAGCGTAGGCCATCATCAAGCCTAAACCTGGCCCTGTTGACCAGCGCTTTTTTCGTCCTAGAACAAAGGTGCCGGTCCTCGCCACAAAGGGTCTTAAAAAAGGTAACCACAAAGTGGCTATTACAGTAAAAAAATTTCCAGAAAGAGGTGTCGGTAGTGCGTACCGTAACGTACCTAAAAATTTTAAAATATGAAACAAAAATTAAAAAAAAAAAGCACTGAGACCCTGAAGTTAATGTTGTTTGGGAGCGAAAGGGGTATATTATGTGAAGGAATGTACCTGAGAACTTGGTCACAACTGGCAAGACTGACTGAAAGAGAGCAAGAGGAAAACAAAGAGATAAATACCTGTATTTGCCTGGTCAGATGGATTTCCGGGACAAAAACATTGAACTGATCCGTAATTGTGATGATCATGTGAGATGCCGAAACATGACAGCCTGCTCTGAAGGGCACGGCACATGATGATGAGGATGATGATAATGAGGAAGAGGATGATGATGATGAAGATTCTGAAAGCATACTGTAAAGTCACAACGTTACAGAAGATTTGTGAAACATGTGATCTGCAGTATAGTATTAGTGTCTAGAATTCTTTTAACCGTTTTTGCCAGATGTCATTTGATGGTATATTCATAAGATTTAACTCTTTCTGTCGCAAAGCATAGTACAATCAGTGATCATCTTTTGCATACATGAACTGGGCGATGAATTATATTAATTACATTTTAAACGTTTGGCCTGAGATACTAAAAGAATCTGGCTAATTATGTTAACGAGTCAGACATTGCATGTTTATTAAGTCTTCACCTGCCTTCTTCTTTTGGTTTTTCACTACCAGGTTTTAGCCCAGAGTCATGGTTTTGTATATTTGTCTTGCGCTTCTCGGGTGACTTGCGTGATGGATTTGTCCAAAATTTTGCAGGTTTCAGCTACATAATGTATCCATCTCTTTCTTGGTCTTCCCCTTGCCTTCCTCTCAGATGTACTGCTGTAAAAAATCTCATATGCAGTTTGATATGGCTGCATTCTCACTAGCTGACCGAAACATTTCATTCTTTGTCTGTCATTATAATCCAAACATGGTCTAATTCCAACTTTCTCTGT